AAAACCCCCCCCCATTTAATACCAATTTAGAGATACAGCTAACAGTTTCAGGCTTGTTATTACTGTATAGCTACGTAACTCTAAGAGCGAGATGAAGTGGTGTATTGAAAGTGACGCTATCGTCGAGAAGGGTTTTTATGGTTTTCAGTTAGTTTTGCATAGCGCGTATTTCCTTGGGAAACTTACATTCAGTGGTGGCAATGGAAGTATTCTTAAAATATTCTGCCAATTTATTTGCTTAATTCCTCTCTATGATTGCTCAATTACACAGGAAATTTATCAATTATACAAGATGTTATCAAATTTTCAAACAGCTCAGCAAATAAATTTGGAGGAATATTTTAGAAACAATTATATTGCCACGCCACTGACAGAAAGTGTCTCAATTACAGAGTTTTTGAACTCACCGAAGCTAGCTTCTGGTACGAATCATGTTCGTAAAAAATCCCGATTCAGTGAATATAAAACGATCAGGGAGGGTCTCTTGTAATACCATATATAAACAGGGGGGACGTGTTCCCCAGCCCCTGTTTTGGCTCCTCCAGTGAACTATGTTGTCTCTCCCCCCCCCCCGTGAAGGTCCCTTCCATCAAAAATATAAGCAAAAAAGTGAAGATTTGAATAACTAAGATAAGAAGAGTATTTTAGTGTTCCCTTGACCAAATCCTTGTCTAGCGGATGAAATATATAAAAATTGTTTCTAAAAATTTCGCAAATCAAGCCCCGGCCCAGACACTTAAAAATACAAATTTTTCAAGGCCAGACAAGTTCCCACTTATCCCATTCACTACCTCCTACTTGGGTCCTTTTCTCTTGATGATCCCTCTTAAAAGAGGCCCTGCGATCAGGCATTAAAAATATACAACATTCTCTTACTCTTGTATCAGCAAGATGTCTCATTCCTTTTGCAATTTCATTCGCCAAATTTATCTTGTTCTTCTTCATAAACATCTGTTCACTTTTCTTGTCTTCTCGAAGATTGCTCTCCAGAGTGCCGTGAGAGCAAAACTCGAGCACTAAAAGTAAAGGACCTATAAAACAAAAGGAGTTTTTCAAGAAATACAACTAATATATTATTCCATTTCAATGGACCCATGCATGCATCCAATTCTCCAACATACAATTGATTACCTTTGTTCTTTTGAATGTTTATAGTAGTAACTATGGATATCATTCTCGTACCCAGAGCCTTTCTTACGCGCGGTGCGACGAGGAGCTCTGGCCAAATCCATAACCGGATACCACAAAAACATGGTAAGAAAACAATATCCGGTGTTAGAACTATAGCCAACCAGATGCCAGTTCGGATATGGATTTGGCCAGAGCCCCTCGTCGCTATGAATGCTATGGATATGTAAGCCCCACGTGGGAAAGGGACATCACACGTCTCAAAGAACATTTTACGTATAAAATGTTAATAGGTTTGAAATACTATGTTAATTTATATCTCATATAGTTCGTAATATTCAAAATATGTTGGCTGTTTCATAATGGTTCGATTCCTGGCGTAGGCCATAGTTGCAATTTTTCGCCACTGTTCGTGGTTAGGTCTAAAAATGGAATATAAATTTGCGTTCGAATATTCCAGGCATCTACAAAAACCCACCTACATCAGTTTTATCGAACGAGATGTCCGAAAAACGCGATATTTATATCCGTAATTATTACCTACCATCTTCACTTGTGCAGGCGCCAATTAAATTGACAATATTTTCATGACAGCTAATTGTAGAAATGGTTGTCAGTTCATTCATTAAGTCACGATGGTCATCCGCTGAAGCGCTCTCTAAAACAAGAAAATTATCCAATTTTGTTTCGGTGATCTGAGACGTTTCTTCATGCAGTATCTAAATTTGGTTCCCCGATGCCAATCCCATACTAAATATAGTTACACTTGAAAACTGTCACACCATAAAGAAATTAGTTCACATTAGATTACAGAACAGAAGAACTCCTAGATTTTAACAACGCCAGAAGGTTTTAATAAACAGAATTTCTTATATATTTTCTGACTATACCCTATATGTCCAGTGCCGTAACCAGACGCGATAATTGGGGGGGGGGGTGTTGCATATTCATATATTCACGTTCTCATACCGTAAAAACAATCGCTTTCAAAAGAAATCAGTAGGGCAGAACACGAATATATGAATATGCAACCCCCCACCCCAATTATCACATCTAGTTATGGTCCTGTATATATCAATCTCGTCCCCAGGGTCTTCTGCCATCACGAGGCTGCCCTATATATATACCATATATATGACCCAACAGAAGGTGTAAACAGTGAACGTGAATAGTGGCGAAGTTAGCCAAACATGGTCATGCCATGCAAATTTTTAATGATTTGCAGTGTATTGAGTGTATTGTCCTTAACCTATTTGGATGCAGGTTTATTAACATAGCATGACCAGTTGCCATGGTTATAGCTTCGCCACTAAACCTTAATTGGGATATTATACTCATGAGATATAGAACTCGTTAAGCAAATTATCATTCGGACTTTTATGTAAAATCAAGGCTGTTATGATCGTACCTTTAAGCATTTTAACAGAACACAATTCTTTTCTCTTCTCATCACTACATGAAAACGTTCCCCGTGCGACGGTAACACCAAATTCTCCAGGAATAAGCGTTTCGTTCGATATTTCAATTGATGTTCTTAGAATTTCCTTCCAAGCTGACTTTGGGACAGTGCCTGAAAATCCCACGTTCGTAAACGTATTTTCATTAAGTTTTTTCCTTTCTGTCATTTGAAACCGTGTCTGTAAAGATTGATAATTAGCATTTCAGTAAATGGAACAATTTGAATACTAATTAGAAAAATTATTGCCCTTCACATAATTAATTCTGCCCATGTTAAGTGTCTGAGATGCAGCGTGAGGAAGGGCCCGTCGTCTACTGTACTTCCGATTCCCTCGGCTAAAAAATTCAACCTCGTCCCCAGGGTATGCATGTCCCGATTGTGCTCATAAAATCCCAAAATGTGCTCTCTAAAACAAAAAAGTTGCTCTCTAAAAAGCATAAAAGTTGCTCAAAAGTTGCCCGAAATAAAAAAAGTTGCTACTAAAATTCAAAAAATTTGTCCTCATTACGTTAATTTCACGACATACGTTAATTAAAAGCTTTATACAATTTCCGTAGGCCCGGATAAATTGTTTGGAATTATAAAGAGAAAGCGTTTTCTTTACAAATTAAATTTTTACAAATAACAAAACAAAGGTCATAAAAAATTTTAAAAATAAGACAGAAAAATATCACAGAAAATGAAGCAACCTCGTACCCAGGGTCTTTGCTCGTGGGAAGCAAGGTAAAGTTTAAACTCTAGTAAAACGTTGCTCAAAAATTTCTCAAATACCCCCCCCCCCACCCCCGGGACATAGCGGGGAATTTAACACAACCAAGTATTAAAAACGTTAAATCCCCCGCCCCTGGGGCAAACTGGTCTGTTAAAACGCCGTACGGCCGGGCTTTAGTATACCTAAACAAGACAAATTCCGCATCATGCATGCATTTGAATTACCTGTCTTCCGCAACTTCCAGATTGAATTTCCGTCAAGTATTGTACTGACAATGTCTGGTCATGCATATCAAAATATCGATATGAAAATGTAAATAAATATGCAAATATAATATGTAAACAATGATTTAATGATTTAATAAGATTCGGCTACTATTTAAATACAACATATAGAGCCAGGGAATTCGCCACAGGTTTCCCCAATTACGGCGATCCCATATGAACAAGAATTAAATTACTGTACAAAACAAATTTTCAAGCAACTTAACAAGCTAAAACTAATAAGGCTAATAACGGAAATCTACAGTATACTGTCCATGTTCAATAATATAGGACTAACAACAACTTATTACATTGTTAAGCGATCTTGCTCTTTTGCACTTTACACACACTGATTTCCAGGTGCGCGGATCGACACATTTGAAAGTTTTGGATAGTGCATGTTTGTAGTAGAGTTTAAGACCTGATTTAAAAGACAGCAAACCTATATATCTCTAGTACGCAAGTTACTATTTAATATGTTCCACGTATAATAAAAATAATAATAATATGTTCCAATAATAATAATAATAATAATAATAATATGTTCCAATAATAATAATAATAATAATAATAATATGTTCCAATAATAATAATAATAATAATAATAATAATATGTTTTAATATGTTCCACAATGCCAAATATATCCAAACAATGGAAAAGGCGATGCCTGATACTTATTGAATATTTACAGCAGCGGATGGCTGAGGATTAAGTATAAAATATAACGTTTCAAACGCACGTACATGTCGACACAGAGTAGATAAGACATACAGAGACGTATTAACTGACCGCTGTAAACACTGCGGAAGATTACGTTATCATTCAGATGCATGCATCTAGTAACTTGCCGAGCATGCGCACAAAAAAAGTGGGTACACTAGTTACGTCTCTGTATGTCTCTACTCTGTGCTGTCGAGGAAGTTTTTCGCCAGTCGCCATTTTCGTTTTTACGACCCTATGCGTCATTTTAAGTCCCCAGTTATCCCCGGTGTATTTATATATAGCGGCTGTTAAATCCCGGGTCAATTCCCCGGTTATAAAAAAGTTGTTAATTCCACC